TGCTAAAACTAATAAGGTCTGCGCAATGTAAAAGTAATAAGATCTGCGTAATGTAATATCTATGTACCAAGTTTCATTGAAATGTGATTAGAACCAAAAAATTATTAATTATTGTGCTAATTGAGAGAATTAATATGAACAGATTTTAACCCAAAATTAATCAGGCTGTCTATTGTCCTAGAGCATTTATGTACCAAGTTTTATTCAAATGTGATGATCAATACTTGAGATATCAGTATTAATTAATTATGTTAATTAGGTGATTAAGAAGCATAAATATTTACCAAAACTAATATGGTGTATAGTCCTACACATGTAGGTTCATTGAAATGTGATGAGTACTCTTTAAAAGTTTCATTAAAATTCAATGAGTGGTTCTTAGGACAAATTAACTAATTAAGCAAATTAGTAGTTTATATGCACAATAATTTATCCTAAAATTAATCAAGTCTCTGCATAGTCCTAGAAGATCTATGTCGCAAGTCTCATTGAAATGTGATGATTAGTACTTGAGATATCAGGTGAAGGGCTGAAAAATAACTAATAACTGCAAAGACTCCCTTTTGTGCTTCGCACACGGGAGTCAAAAAGTAAAACATTGACACGAACGACTACGAACAATCACTCATATGATAAGCTCCGCTCGACAAAGTCAACAGCGGAGCTAAAAAACTATAAATATTTAAGGCAAGTATACAAAAGTATAGGTAGAAATAAAAACAAATGGTAATAATAAAATCTCAAGTACATACATAGCAATAGAAATGAGTACATTGTACAGTTGTCAATGAGAGAAAAAAATTAATATTTAATTACTCAGGAGGCATTGTCTCAATTCAAATGCATTTTTTAGAAATTGTGAAAGGGGAATGAACATGCGTTTGTTACTCAAGTGACTAGATGTATTGGTCCGCCATTTTTGTTACATTATTAGTGGTAAAAGTATTTGTAAAGGATGTTAAAAGGTGTGAACACCAAGCTAAATATAAACTACTGCAACATATGCACAGAGCACAGGTTTCTTTTCAGCCCAGTGATAAGACAAATATACAAAGCAGCATGTGGACAAGGCTTAAAACTAGCCTGCATTGAAGGTCATGGAGTTTAATCACCAAACTAAACATAGTTTTTATTGTTGTAAGGTAACTTTACTAGTATTTTATGATTCTGTCTTATGCCTCTAGGGGTCACAGAGAGGTTGATGGTACAGTAATTAGCATTTTTGCCTCACATCAGGGAGGTTCTGTGTTTCATAAATATATTTCTTGAGCCGCACACTTCCGTGCTGCCTTT